AACCCCCCCCCCCCTCCCCCCCGAGAGTCTATTTTTCGATCCTCGAAAAGCAACGCTGCACGACAGGGATAAGGAATTCGAGTGTTTTCTTGCGTGAATGTTGTCAACACTGTCACCAGTTGCGGGTATGGAACTGAAAATAAAGTTTGTATAAATATATTTTCGATTTTAAAGATTATATATTCTAATATAGATTTTCTGATGCCATTGTTGGGTCATAGGACCACACACACGCTTGAAAATGATATAGTCGCTTGTATTTTATAAACTTTAATGTCAAGACTACTTCTACTCGTAAAATATATATCTGTATATTTGTAAAACAGTCACAGACAGGGTCGAGCAGTTGTGTCAGACTGAGGGGAATATTTTTATTGTAAAGATGGCACGTTGCAGAGAGCATTGCTAGTCATTGCCAACTTTAACATATCCCACAGTGTCTTAAAAAAAAGTTAAATGCTCACAACAATGTATCATTATACTCTGCGATATCCCAGGCAACCCTCTGACAACACAAAGGTCGTACATTCTCCGAGATTTTGTTGAAATGTTGTGTTCAATTTTTTATTTTCGTATTACCTGTCCCCGTCCAGATATATTGAGCAGTATATAACGAAGACAGTTGTGGTCTATGGTTTATCCAAACAGAAGTGTGACTCCAGACAGACATCAAGCTGTTTCACTAGACCTGTATCCGCGGTACTCCCCTTTTATCGAAATTATTAAGCAATATTCCAATCGGTACTTTTTCTGAGATGGTCTAAGAACTGTAGTATTCGTAGTGAGAGCCACGGTGGTCTAGCGGTTAGAACGCTGGCCTTGTAATCCTGGAGTCTCGGGTTCGATTCCCGGCGGTGCCCGAATTTATAACTTGTGTTGGGCAAGGCCGTGGTCTAGGCAACACGGAGTTTTCCTCCGTGGCATCCCAACAATTACTCCATTCACACACAGAAGAAGGCAATGGCAAACCACTTCTGGATCATCTGCCAAGAACGTATATGAACAGGTCCCAGTCCGAGAAAAGGATGGAAGGATCCTGTTCATATGGACCTGTCGTCAGACAGAACACTAAATAATAGCTTACAGTATGTATTTATATACCGTTTGTTGAGAGCGTAGAGAAATTTCGATCTTGAAGAAGGGAAATAAACTCTCAAGAGTTTGGCACAACTGCTCCGAATACTACGTATATGACAGATCGGGATATCAGACATTGCCAGCTTATGCTGTGTCTGATATCCCGGCCTTGGTGACCAATGATGTAAAAACTATGCACCAAACTGTATCTCCGTTCCACGCGCCACGTTCAGAGTGGTTAGGGGACATTGCCAACAGATGGCACGCTGATGCGTCTTGCTTCCACGGTAATTGTTGAAACCCGTTAATATTCTATTTTCTTTCGAGTTAATTATTATCTGATTCGGACATCTTACTAATCAGCAAGTTTCAGTTTACTAATCACAGCGTTAAACGTCTTTGGCTGAGATCCTAATGTTTTATTATCTTGTTTATAATGGAAAAATTTAAAAATTAGTTAATAACATACGACAGTTGAGAAACACGTATTCCAGTTGCAAGCGAGACGCAAACTCCTCTGTTTCATTGCATTATTGTGCTTGTAATAATGTACTATATATATATATATATATATATATATGCTTTTTGTAAAGGAAAATGTTTTATATTATTTTTTAAATTTGTTTATGCTGAATAGAGGGCAAGGCCTCGAAAAGGCAGAAATTTGGTGTTTGGCTTTAAAACACACTAAAAGTACACATGTGTGGGAGTGAGTGGGGCATCGAGGGCGAAATCCACCCCTCTCCCAACTCATTATGTCGTGTTGTGTTGTGCCGTGTTGTACCGGTGTTGTCTTCTTGTGTGAAGGCGGTGCTGATGGTGAAGAAGATGCTCATTTGTTTACTACTGTCTACCTTTGCATCTCCGCTCGGATGACGATTCATTTTGGGCTTTGGATAAATTAATCGGAAACAGAAATTGACGGTTTATTTTTCAGTATTTTGAAAATTGG